TGCATAAGGTTATGATTAAAATATAAGGTGGTTTAAAAAAAGGTTGTACTCAACAAAGTCAATCAAGTGTAATTATTTTGACTCGATTTGATGCTTCGGCCAGCTATATTCTCTTTCATATTCAATCCGGATTTTTTTTTTTTAAGTCAAGTAGCAAATATGTAATAAAACCTGAGTTTGCTTAATATATTACAGGGAAGGCAGTCTGTATAAGTAAAGTAAACATACACCAAAAAAGGAAAAGGAGACATAATCACATTGACAGAAAGAAAAATTGCATTTGTGATGTTAAAAAAGCAGAGGGGAAATTTATTTATAGTGTAGGTTCTTGGCATTCTTGGCATTGCCTTTTCTCTTTACTTACTCTTTATTTCTTAACTTAGAAAACTAATGTTGAGATGCCAATAAACAAAGCACTGCTCCAGATAAAAAGGAGAAAAAAATCTATTGTAATGCTCTGTGAGCTACCTGTGACCAAGGGGAGCACACTCTAATTCTTAATGAGTAAAACCTTTTTTAAATACAGTTAAAGGTAAGGTCAAGTTATGTGTGTTATTATGAGTTGGTGGGCTTTGTTCATTTCTAATGCAAAATGTGATACTGAATAATAATCTTGTTTCACGACAGAGCTGCCTGAGGTACACAAAAAATATAAATAATCCTGATTAATAAAGAAGTAGGCGAATTAGACAAAGGGAAACAAATCGAAAGAGACAGCGCATTGAAGTTTTGCTTGTCTTCCTGCATTACACTGAAAAGTAGACCTACAGAGGAAGAGCGTCACATAGAGACTTGTCAGTCTTGGCTGAAGCAGCTTAGGGACGCAGCCTTGTCCATCATCCTTCTTGCTGACAGACATGGACAAAGGCACATACGACCAAAGACCTGACAGATGCAGAACATAGTGTCTTTCTATCTCCTTACATATATGACAGTCTATGTTTTTTATGCATGTTCAGAATTTCCAATCAGGTGAGCAAAATCTTATATTTTTTCATGCATTTAATTTCAAGGGTAAACCGTCAATACACAGTACTCTAGTTTCTTGATTGAAACCACATGCTGCTTTAAATTCACCATTTTCACTTTTTATTGAATCAATGCTGATTTTTGGCATGAGGACTTTAGAAACTTGACGATTAGCATTTTGATGACTATACAGAGATTGCAGACTGTATGGTGTGTGTAATAGTGTGTGGTTCAGTTAATGAACAAGTTATGAAAAAGGTATGTGAAAAACAATCCACTAATATTTCCACATAAAACCTACTTCTGAGTGGTGATTTTTGCCTCTCTCCCCTCTCCAATAATTTGAATGACCCTGTTGCACATGTGAACACACTGTTTCATGCCAAAGGTCATTTCATTAAAATGCAGAAATATGTATTGAATTCTCCTGCGTGACAGCTACCAAGAACATCTTTGTCATACAAAATATACTTTGAAGCTTAAAATGATAATACAAACAACAGAGTAGTGCATAACCAACTGCATCAGTCATCAGTAGGTGTGTTATTAAAGTAGATAACTAAAATTTATTGAGAAACTATAGGATTAAAAAATTGCAGCAGTTGTTAAAGTATTATTGTTTGTGTCAGAAATATAGATTTCTGACATAAGATCCATTTGTAATACTGGAAAATATAGAAATATGATAATAGACAGTTACACAGAGCATACGCAGAGTAACACTATTACTGCAACTAGGTGCCTTGTGATAAATACAAATTAAATAATCGCTCTCTTTCAACCACTTTAATATCCATCCACCCATGTTCTGCCCTTTGTCTGGGTCCAGATTGGAAGGGACTTCCCTATCTCCAGCCAACTCCTTCAGCTCCTCCAGGGGATCACTGATGCACTGCTAAGCCAGCCGAGAGATGTAATCTGCCCTGGGATGTCCTCTCGGTAGGACATGCTCAAAACTCCTCACCTAGGAGACATCCATGTCAAATGCCTAAACCACCTCAGCTGGCTCCTCGCAGAGGAGCAGACATCAGGATGTCTGCCTTTATCAGTGACCCTATTTTATCTGGTACTACCCAGGGCTGAGGACCATTGGTGAGAGTTGGAATGCAGATTGAGCAGTACATTGAAGCCCTCTAGCATAGCTAATCCATGACCTCTCATATCAAGAAAATGGCACAGAGACATGAGAGTCGTAAAAAAGGAAACACCACAATGGTGACATGGTTCTCACTCTGATCTGTACTTGAAACCAAAGTAATTTAAACACTCGAGCAAAAGGCTTTTTTTCTCCCTTTTGACATAACTGTTACACTGTTTGGTTGTTTATGTGTATGAATTGTAGGTACTGCAAGATTTTGCATGGTTTTATACTATGAATATGCAATTTATGTTCCTGTAGAGCATTTAAGAAGGTGCTTTATTTGATATTATATCATGAGATCTGTTACATTACAATATGTTGAATTACAAGACGACTGAGGTTTGTGCTCTCACATGAGACTGTTATTTTATTTTATTGCATTGCATTCGCTTCACTATTTTAGCATTTTGTTTTATTTTATTGCCTGTGGAGTGGTGGGGGAATTTTGTTTTTAAATTCATTTTTTCACCTAAATGTTTTATTTATGATTTGTCTTTGCAAAACCTTGTCCTTTAAAAATCACTCCAATGATTTTTGTTTTTCTCAGTGAATGTTCAAATGTACATTTCTACTCCCTCATATTCCATTCCTGTCATTCTGTCTTTCACAGAATATCCTAACTCTTTCGCCAAACTTGCTTTGCTTTACATGCGTTTGCTGCCACTGTATGTGTAGTAACTTTACTTTGAAGTGGCTTGAACTGTGTGGTTGTTGAAGATGGGAGATGGCGAGAGAAAGAAGTGAGTGAGAAAGGGAGATAGAAGAGATTGAAGAAAGGAAAGGAGTGGAGACAGAACCAGAAAATGCAGAATGATGGCACAGTTTTTCCTCCCACATTCAGCTGCTGAATTATAAAATAGAAGTTTTCATTTTATACTGCACTACAGCAAACTCATAAATAAATATTCTCTGTATTTTATTTGCATAGACAATGAACAAAGTACACTTCCTTTATTGCAAAATGCAACTTTTGCTCTTCCTTTCTCCTTCATGTTTCCTGATTGCAGCAAAATATAAAATGATGAGCGGGGAATGTTTTCACTTTTCAAAATACACCAAGAAAAAAAATACTTTAGAGTGAAAAAGAAAAAGTAGGTTTTCAGGTTGTTACAAGAGGTTCACAATTTTGTGCCAAACACAACCAAACACAAAAAAAACAGCTTGATTAGATTATTACTGACATACGCAGGTGTTTTTATACATACACACTCACAAGAATATCATGTACAGAGAGCTTATCAAGGGAAGGGTATGGCATGTTTGCAGACAGTTTTGGCAAGACATAAAGCAAGAGAAACACAAGAAAGTAATAATGAGAAAGAAATAAAAAGTGGAATTTTTTTGCCTCCTACTTCTGTGTTGAGGAAAACTTTTTTTTACTTCAGAGTGTGTCTTTGTCAGTGTTGTTTGTGTATGTGTGTTAATAAGAAGAGGTGTAAACACGATAGTGTGCATGTGTATGCATGCTTATAAAGTGTATTAATAAACTGAGGGAGGGTCTCGTCAAGGTGATAAATAGAACAGAGCACACCGGGACAGATTAGAGAGAGAGTGTGAACAAAAAAAGAAAATAAAGAGATTAACTATAGGATGCCTTGAGAATGAAGGATTGAGGAGGGGCAGAGGGAGGGATCAAGCAATGTATACTGGGAAGGAAGGGAAAGAAATCACTGAGGAATGGATGAAAGGGTGAACAGAAGCTTTATAGGAGGAGGTGAAGAAAAAGAAATGAGACTGAGAGATGAAAGAGTGGACCTGGCTGGAAAAAAATAAAGGAACTGGGGAATGATGGTGATGAAGGAATAGATATTAGAACATCTACAAGGGAACAATGGAGTAACAGGACGAGGATGGGGATGGCAGGTGATGAGGACATTATCTAGATCAGCGGTTTCCAACCTTTTTTGCGCCACGGAATGGTTTATGCCCGACAATATTTTCACGGACCGGCCTTTAAGGTGTCGCGGATAAATACAACAAAATAAAACTAATACCGGTACCGGAAAAAAGAAGATTTATTCATAACACACCTGAAAAGACCAAGGAAAACCGAGTAAACGATAAAAACGATAACAAAATAATGCTGAAAACCGATAAAAACCCTGAAAACTATACATTTCACACCTTAGCCTCAACTCTCGCGGCCCGGTACCAAACGACTCACGGACTGGTACCGGTCCGAGGCCCGGCAGTTGGAAACCGCTGATCTAGATTAAAGAGAAACCTGGATTTAAAACAATATGCCAGTGCTATACTGAAAGAAGGTTAACATAAGGAAAACAAGCCTGGAAGAAAAGAAAAGCGTTGGGATGAGTGGAGAAAGGTGACAAAAAAAGTGTCAGAAAGAGAAAGAAAAGTGGTGAAGCATACTGATGAGAGGAAACGGGAGTGAAGACGGAAAATGGAAACAAAATTCCTAATCATGTCCCTGAATAATTACTAATTCATTGTAGCCTTTCTCATAAGCAGAACTGCATTCTCTGAATTAGCCATAATCTCCACCGCAAAACACATCTGATTCAGCCTGCTTGCAGCAATTATTCAGTAAAACTCTTAACTTTCTTAAGAGCCTTTGCTGTCACTCCTTTGTCTTCTCCCACCAAAACATACCGTGGGAGTCGGGACCATGCTGCGTGAATCAATTTTAAAAGGCGTTCTATACAAAGAGAGTATGGCACGCATCAGAGATTAAAGAAAATCAGTGAGAAAATCGGGGCAGGGAAATTCCAAGCGATGCAAATTGAATTTTTAAGCAAATTGTACCTTAACTGTCACTGTAACAACTCAGCTTTCTTTTCTCTTCGGTTTATGATGTGCTTGTGTGAACTTTAGATTAACCTTGCTTTCTCTTTTTTTCTTACTTTGTCTCGTTCTCCATTCTTCTCTGCAGGGTGTGGTTCCAGTCAGGTATCAACTTCCTGGCTGTGAAACCCAGCAACCTTGTCGCATGGGAGATCAAACAGGAAATGGCACCGGGAAGCAGTTCGTTGGCAGTTATGTGCCAGAGAAAGGCCTCCTCCACAGCAGAGAGGTAGGAGTCAAACTCTCATATCTATTCTTTTTTAACTGCTACCTCTGCCATGCAGCAGCTATTTAACGTATCCCTTTTATAATGAGTAGTTGTGGGTGAGTAGCTGTTGGAAATGGTCTTTGATCTTTGTGCTTCAGGGCCATAAGAATGATAGTGCCACACATTTCTTATTAAAGCAGTCTTAGTTGTCTTTACAGTGACAGTAAAAGTGTCAGTTAATTTAAGAAAATAAATTATTACAAGATCATTTTTTTGACAATAACAATAACCATAAATTGTGTACTCATACATTAGCTTTGAGTTTAAAAGGTATAGATGGCTCTTTTAGATTCTTACTGTTTTTTTATTGAACACAACAATCTGTAAGCCATCTTTGAATCAGAAATTTAAGAAATCAGAAATTAAACATAGTGTAATTGTGTTGCCTGTAAAGAAGTTTTGTCTTATTGCCTATGGACTTATTGGTGATATGTGTGTATCACAGAATAAATACATACATGCATGTAGTACACAAAGGCTGGCAAGTGTCGACATCAGTGACTCACAACTCATGCTAAATTTGCCATGCATGTGTGAGTGTTTAGTTGGTGTCATCAGGGTAAAACCAGCAACGACATAGTAAGTACAGTCTCTTTTTTTGTTTGTTTTTGTCACTAATGTAGCAGTCAATTAATACTTAACCTCAGTGCATGCTTACACTGACTTTGTTGTTGTATGGCGTTGATGGAGAAAGCAAATATAATCACTGTGGGTGAGATCTAAAACCCCAATATCCCAAAAAACGTCTCACTTAAAAAGACAGCAGAAGTTAATTGGATGGAACAGAAAATGTATTTGTGTTTAATTCGCATATTGTTACAGCTCAAAGCAAGCTCCAGGAATCAGTAATACAATTTTATTCCAAATCAACAAATCCCCAGTTTAAACTAAATGGATATTATAAGAGTGGTCGTTTTACAAAGAAGAGTAGCTGGCTCATTACAGTTCATACTCAGTCACTTTCACACTATCAACAGCGAAGCAAGTCATTCAGTGTGCTGTTGAATTGTTGAGTAATGTATTCTTGTGCATATTTTCAAAGGGATTGATCGCATTTTGGAAACACTATAGTTATATGAGTGTCAAATATAAAATACACTGCACGAAAGAGCCTTTTATAGTTATAATCTATACTGATGCAACCATATACTAGTTTGATTAATCAACTTTAAATACTTCTTTCCTCTTATTCTCTTGTTGCTTTAAAGCAGTGCTGATGAATGACTTTCCATCTTCAAATCATTATTACATGGCCCCAGCTCAATTTGCACCACTTAGCTAGCTGTTAGCCACACCTTAACTCAACTGACAGACAGCTTCAGCACCGAGGAATGAGCCAAAGTGAGCATTAAAAGATGTATAAGTGATGACGCATCAGCTTTGAGCTTTCAAATTAAGAGTGTCAGAGTTAAAAGTGTGTGTTTTGTTTTTTTTTAATCAGATATTTGCCTTTGAAGTGTATAGTACAGAAAGTATCTACCATGGGCAATCATACTTCCAACTGACAGGCACTTTAAGACATTTACTAGGAAACACACTTCACTGCTGTGAAGTTATTTACCAGGGGTTTACATTTACCAATACCATTTCCTCAAATAATGTGTCTATGATTTCTAATCCGCACCAGTTTCCTCAGTGGTTGCTGCTGAGATGTTGCACCTGACTAACATCCCTCGTGTCTTCAATCCCAGTGTTAGAATTTTAAATATGGAAAGTATTCTTTGGAGTTGTTGCATGGTATCATATCAAAACTGAGGGGTAGAGGACCCCTAGGATTTACACATAAAACAAACGAGAGCTCTAATGCATCATGTTGTGAAGTTTTTTTGCTTAATCTAAGCAGCTTTTATTTATTTATTTTTTGTTTGAGCCCAGCATGGATTGTTACCACTGGCTGGCAGCTAGCTATGCTATTATCACTAGCATCTTCTGAAAAAACCTCCTGGCAATCTGGGATGAGAATACTGTGTTTCATAATGGGCTTAAACTCATTTGTATTTATATCATGTCGAGTAAAGTTGGATGGAGTTCTGGTGTGTATTCCAGAAATCTAATAAAAAGCCAGATGAAGCTGCTTACTGTGAATAATAAAATCATCACTGACTGGTTTTCACACAGTGGTTAAGCTAGTTGTTAGCTGTTCTTTTATTGTAATGTTATATATTATAGAGACTCTCTGACAGAGCGGAGCTGATATTAAAGCACACGTGTCATTTGATATTTTTTTAGCTTATGAGATCTGAAATCTCTGTTATTGCATAGTGCCTGTTCTATGTGTAGCCAGGGCTCAACTGAGTTTTAACCATCCTGAAATGTATTGTAGCCTGTTGGCTAAGAAGTAGTGGTGAGAGTTAAGCACATCTAGTCCTCCTCTATCCTCGGTGCTCTGTAGAATTTCTAAGCTTATATACAGGGTTTTCTTTCCAAGGGAATTCAGAGATTGAAGAATCCAGAGATCTAAACCAGTCAGGTAATGGTTTACTCTGGATCACTGAGAACAAATA